CTGTATAGCCTGGTGGTCAAGGGCCCAGGTTCTGGAGGCCGACATCTGGGTCTAGCCCCAGTTTTACTGCTTTGGACCTGGACTACCAGGTAAGCTGAGCCTCTGTGTCTCCATCTTATCTCCAGAATGGGCTATCTGAAGGATTTCGCTTTCAGGATTAAATGCAATAATGCACTTACAGAGGTTATTACAGCACCTGGCAGGTGAGGTGAGCTGAATTCACAGTATCTAGTACCATGATCAGGGTCTGAGGGCTCCTCAGGGGAGCCCAAAGCATTGGTTTTGCTTTTCATTTTTCTAGAAACAAGCTGGGAGAGGGAGCGAGCATGACACTACCACGCATGCCCGGAAAGCTAAGGGATGGTGAGTTGCAGCAAACGGGCCAGCTAAAGGCTTAGAGTCTGCGGCTCTGAGAGCCAGAGGAGGGCAGATGAGCCCCAGCAGGAGCACAAGAACACTGGCAAAGTGCCATCAAAAGTGGCTGGCCTTAGACGAACCATGAGAGACGATGGACTCTGAAAAACAAACTGAGGGTTCTAGAGGGGAGGGGGGTGGGGGGATGGGTTAGCCTGGTGATGGGTATTAAAGAGGGCACATTCTGCGTGGAGCACTGGGTGTTATACACAAACAATGAATCATGGAACACTACATCAAAAACTAATGATGTAATGTATGGTGATTAACATAACAATAAAAAATTTAAAAAAAAAGTGGCTGGCCTTAGCTGCTGCTTTCCCTGCTGCCGAAATGTTAGCGCTTGCAAAACAGGGGCTCTTATCTGCAGTTAGGTTTACTTTTTGTTAATATTCAATGGAAAAAAATGGATCATGGCAAATATTCCATCAGCAGACAAAGCCTTCCAACAATGGTGTGAAATGCTGGGGACTGGCCACTGGGTTAACCTGATGTGGCAATTCTGGTGTATCGTGGGGCCACATTTCATGAAAATTTGCATGCACTGGGATTAAGAGCGGAAACAAACAAACTCGGTCTTGAAAGTGCTCATTGAAGAAAGAGGCCAGTTCCGTGCAGGTGGGAGCATGCCTGCTGAGTGAATGTAATACAAAATCAGGCCAGGCCAGGTAAGAAGATAAGAGGACCGGCGAGGTGGAGCCAGGATGGGCTCCATCTCTCCCCCACCCCAGCTCTGAGGGTCACTTTCTTTGTGGGAAGAATTAGACCCGGGGCTTGACTTCACTCCTCTTCCCAATCCAGTCCGATTTGCTGGTCGGGTAAGTCCTTCCAGGTGCCCCAGTGGGAATAAAGCATCCAACTGTTAATTCACAGACTCCCACTCGAAATCAAAGCTTTCCCCCGTTCCTTTCACTGCAAAGAAAGAAATGGAATGGACGCTGCCCTCGGAAGTGCCAGACCAAGCCCACACGAAAACGTTTTGATTCCTTTAACAGAAAACCATTTATTTTTGGTTCATTTCAGTATTTATAGCAGTGCACATGTAACGCATTTCAGTCCACATGAATAGTTCCCAATGGTCGGAGCAAATTAATCTCTTACAAGCTACTCAGCAGTGAGGTTAGAAGATAAACAGTAGGTGAGATAGTACACGCTCCCCTGTACGTGAACCTTCCTATTACAGTAAACTACATTCGAGCTCACCACATCCAACGACTGCCACTCTCTCTGTTCATGTGGCAGCCCCAGCTACCCCCTGCCACCTCTGCCCTGCTGGGGTAGTTCTCTGATCAGCCACCTGGGTGGGACTCGCTGCCATTTTCAGTTTGGAAGGAAAAGCCCGTAAATCTGCTTCCTGGGAAGACAGACATTGCTGAATTGTCATGTGCCTCCAGAATGCAGAAAACATCAATTTCATTGCAGCTCATCAGAGTTGGAAACACCTGCCACTTTCTTTCTCGGTTGCAATTAACATGCTGCATCTCAGCATTGATTGCTTCCAAGCAGCCTAGCACTGCCAAAGTCAGGGTTTAAATGAAACGGTACAACTTGACACTATTTTTCACAGTTTTAGAAACGAACTTATTTTTATTGCCAAAGAAGCCCTGCAATTGTTGGGGGTAAAAGTCTTTACACTTGAGATAAATGTGAGTAGAATAGGCTGATGCTTATAATAAAAATAGTTCTTTATTTTTGTATTTATTTGGGAGTAGTACTTGTTTATCTTTGCATTTGTTTTTGGGTGGAGCGGAGGACTCATATTCCTCCCTCTTTGCCAGCCCCTACTCGGGGCTGCGCGACCGACCCCATAGGCAATCAGAGAATGTTTGTTAAACAAACAGATCAACAAATGAATGGTTTGGAAGAGCAAGCTTAAGAACTGTCCTTTCAGTCCATCTTAAGTAAAATCCTTAACTTGCAACTATCATGAGCCCTTTAGTTTAACTTAGAAGCTGTGTGAGCCTGCGTCTAGAATATGATCTGAGACCGGGGCTTGATGTTTCACCCAGAGTCTTACGTTGTCCAGCTTTTGATCATGAGTGTTCTTTTATGGGACAGAAGAAGTTGTTTTCATCATAATCCTATTCATATTGCGTTAAAAAAACCTCTCTTTAAAATGTACAGTATTTTACATTTTGAGGGTCTTAGAACATTCTTTATTTGTGAATAAGGAATGGAACTATTCAAAATAATTCAACAGCCACATTATTTGTGTCCTTTTCGAAGTGTTCATTGGAATGGTTTTAGGTACTGTTAAGCTGAAAGCCAGTGTAAGTAGAAGGCTGTTACACGTGAGGTTTATGTTTCAACTTGGCCAGATAAGACTCAGCCTTAAACCACAGAACATAGTCTTTGGAAGAGAAAGTGAACAAATTGCTTCTCTCATCTATTAACAGAATACTAGGGCCAAGAAACACCTTCTTTCTTGGCCCTTCTTGGGAGAATCTTTCTTTTAGATGAAAACACAACAAATTAAAATAAGTGGCAATTAATTCTTTTGTATAATAACAACCCAGACACTATACATGGGAGCATCCTCTGTTAAATGTACGCAAGCACCAAGTAGCGCACTTTCATGTAACTGACAGAAAAGACTGGGTTCGGATACTTCTAAACATTCTAGAATAAAAACTGAAGTTCTATATCTTATTTATTTAAATGAATTTTTTCTTTAAATAAAAGTCCTGAGTATCTGTAGTCTTACCTTTAAATACCTAATGACTGAAAATATTATTTTAACTACCTCCATAAATCCTTAATACTATACAACTCACTGCCCCAAACATCTGGGTTATTTGTATGTTAAATAGCTTATATACCAATATCTTAATGCCAGTGGTATAACGCAGGAAAACCAGAATTAGGAGGAAATCATATTAGCAATTTCCACCAAATATATAAATAAATAAGAATAAATAGCCGTAAATGGCACAGTTTTGATAGATAGATGCCTGCACATATTCCCTCATAGAAGAATTCATGCACTAGAAGGTCTGATTCTTTTTTAAAAGAAAGGAAAAAGGAAGATGAAGGAAGGAAAGTAGAAGGGAAAAGAGAACCGCAACCTTTGGAATTTGGTATGCCACGGAAAGGTTGCATTTAACCCCACCCCAAATGTTGGCGGGCTTGGGAAATCCAGTTACATTTCTAATTTCTGGCTTGTTGGCTGGCCAGACTGGCGTGTGCGGACAGCATCTCAGACAGAAGTGGTTCATGGTCAACTTATACTGAGGAGAGTCAGGTCTCTGGTCAGAGCCAACTGTTGCACAGCACCTTCTGTTCAGTGACACATGTACACACTTGCAGAAATGAGAGAGGCCAAACATATAACAAAGAGTTCCTCAGTCCGTCTCTTGTCAGTGACAGACTGAATCTTCAAAGAATCCCATTGAGGGAAAAACAATCAAATACCTTCTGACAACAGATCACTATGTAAAACAGATCAGTTTTCTTTGGTTCCCATATGACCCATCAGAAGGGCCCAGGAATCCCTTGTCAGTGCCCAAAACTCCATCTCCTGGCTTTCTTTTCACACTGAAAATGTCATTTAAAAAATCCATGACCCAGTTTGGGATTTGGTCCCTGCATTGTAAATGGGATCATGGCACTCAGCTCCCAGTGAAGTCAGAAGTGGTTTTGTCCTTGTCCCGTGGAGTTCCTGGGGAATCCCTGGAGAGAGTGTGGGAGACGCTTCTCTTTAGACCTGAGAAGATTGCCTTCAGGAAGCATTCTCACCTTGGATCACTAATGGGTGTGTTTTCAGTAACAGCACCAGCCTCACTGATACTTTATCAACAAATGAGTTTCCCTTTTTGCCATCACCAACAGTTATATAAAAAAGCACTGGAAAACTATTCATTTTCTAGAAATGCTTTTTTTTTTCCCCAGGGACAAAGTTTTCTTTCCTTTTTTTTTTTTAAATAAAATTAAGGTTCAAATGTTGTATTAAATTCTCATTGCTTATGTATATTATATTAAGGCTTATAAATACAACTGGTAAATTAAATTCACCCTGGATTGAATTAACACCTGCTATATGAGTTATTTGCTTTATGTAATCAGTAATCTCAAGGTTTCTCCTTTTTCTCTGCAAACACAATTTAAATATTAACCTAATCTTTAAACTGCGGCTGCTTCTTTCTGACATTTGGAAACCGGTCATCCATGCAAAAAAAGGCAAATATGGATATATTTAATGAAAAGGCAGCTTCTTAAAAATCTGAAGATGTGTAACTCAATGAATTGGGAAGATAAATGATAAAGGCAGCAGGAAAGTCGCTCTCTGTGTCACTTTCTTGGGAAAACAATGCTGTTCATCTGCCAAGGTCACCTCCAATGTGAGACCTGCCAAAGGGACTGCCGATCTCCTAACAGTCTTTGTATTTTCTTCATTATAATCTCTGGAAGGGTCTCGGGCAGTTGTACTCCGTATGGAAGAATTTTAGTGTTTAAGAAAAGACGGCAATAGGGTATCCCTTAAGTTGTAGGTACGGCAGATCCTGCCAAAGGAACTGTGAGTGAGTGGGGTATGCCTGGCCCCATCCGTCCTCAGCCGGCACCCTGGGTGGGGAGCGCCTTGGGCCTGCTCATGTCCTGCTCAGCTGACAGCCCCTGGAGAATATGAAGCTTTCAAAGTGCTGGTCTTCAGCCTTTTCTTTTATGCGCTGTTCCTCCAAGGAGTTCACGAGTCTGTCCCTTTGTTCAATCACTTGCATCATCTCGCTGAATATTTCTCGCTCCTCATTCAGATCATTCTCATCTTTCTGGCTCTCTAAAAAACAAAAAAGGAAAAGCATGGGACCTCAGGTAACATTTGGCTCAGGGAGAGAGCTCTTGGCGTGGGCAATCTTGATTGTTTTGGACTTGTTCTGCCTTTTAATTTCCATGGAGAAAACAAGGAAATGAATTTAACACCAGGGAACTGTTCTTGAAGCCACAGATTAGCAAAGAAGGTGCTTTGTGCTGCAGTCAGCTCAGTTTTCATCTTGAGAATATATATAAAGCAACAGGGGGAAATCCCTTTGTGAGGAAAAGAATATCAGCCAAGCCCGACTGAGTCCTCCAGCCTCCCCTCCCCCTCAAAAAAGAAACCAACAAAACAACAAAAAGGCTGTTTTCCCTAAACATGTCTGAACTGCAACAAAGAAATCTATGTGCAAAGTTTCTAAGTAAACCATCCACATTGGTGGCTACTATTTCAATGACGAGAATCCTATTTCATCTGTAGTGAATGACAAATTTCAGTCCTTTGAGTAGAGACCAGGCAAGAGCAAAATAAGGCTCTGGTTGGCCGATGGGACTGTGTCTCCAGACTGTAACTATTTTTTCCCTTTTGCCTTCAGAGTACAAGAGCTTCTTCCTAATTGGCCTGACGCATCCGATTGCCTAGGGGCTATAAGATTGCTATAAAAGGAAGGGAAAGAGTAAGAAACAGGTAGTAATGACTTTCTGACAGTCAAAATAGATGTTAAGGCAGATGGAAGCCTTGTCAACCAGATTACTGCCTTGGGAGAGGATTTTATAATAAATACCTTCGCCCCTTCCCTTTAACAAACTGGGGTGTAGGCAGTGAGCCCGATCCTGGAGCAGACAAGGGTCACTGTTTCTCACGTGAGGCTTAGTTCTGAGGACAGGGTCAGGAAGAAGGTACACATGACAAAAGGAAGAGGGAGAAGCACCATTCCCTTTGCACCTCATGTTTTATGGGAGAGAGAAGAGAAGCAGAGGTTGAGAGCTCTGTGCTCCAGCCTCTCTACTCTGGGCCAGGAAATGTCATACTGTTTGGTGACAACACTGGGAGCCAAAGGATTCTTACCCTGCCCCTTGTTTGGAATTCTGGGAAGAAGCCAGCTGGAAGGGCACCTTATGTGTAAACATGGGGCAGTACGTTGTGGTTGGGTAGAGAATGGTCTGAGGCTGGCTCTCCAGTCTCGATCTGCAGTGTATGGCCCAGGTGGGGCCCAGAAGTGCCCACCAGCCCCAGAGCCACCAAAGGTAGCTGGTCATAGGGCTCCCCCATGTTGAGGAGTGATGTGGTCCCACCGTGGAGACCGTCTGGCCAAGCTGAATGGAAGATGTGCTGAGGTGAGGCTGAGTAAGCCAGGGAATGCCACCAGGCTCCAGGCATGCTAAGGAGGGGCCAGGCTGTGGAGGATGCGAGTTACACACCTTGGCTGCAAATGCCAGCAGAGAGAATGGTGGCCCAATGACAGGACACAGCTGTGTGGGGGCTCAGTGAGTCAAAGCAACCAGTACAGATACCTAACGCCTCGAAGTCACAAACCTGCCTCTCCCAGTTACCTGGCCTTAGCGAGAAGGGCAGAAGGTAAAGGTGGCCATCTCCAAGACGGAACATTTTCATCCCAAAGAGACTGAGCACTTCCTACAGGGACTGTTTAAATTATTGCATCAGACTGAGTTTTACTAGAGAGGGATAAATAAAGTTCTTTTCTTTCTTGCTAACTGGTGGGATAAAGCGTTTGTGGAAGATGAGCTCAGGCATAGTCAAAATGAAGAAGCCTTTTTTTTTTTTTTTTTTGTATACCTGAGAGGTGTGAAGAAATGTATGATCCTCACTCCTCAGTAAAAATTTAAAAAAAAAGAAAAGAAAAAAAATTCAAAGGTGGCTAATGGGGTCTGTTGGTGGTATTTATTTTACCATCCTGAAATGGAGCAAATTTAAATTTTTATTTGGTGTGTAAATCAGATATTATGCTGTATGGTTTGTTGATCTAGGTCTATTCCAGTGTTGGTCCTTATTTGATAATCAACACAGAAAAAAAATTCCTTTCTCAATGTTGGCTTCTCATCAACGGACTCATCTGAGCCCTTCTGACAAATATAAATGATGTATACCAATTTTATCTGTTCTATATAGTGCAGCCCTGTAAGGACTTTGCTAGAAATAGAATTTTGTTGCTATAAAGAAGGTCTACAAATCACTACTATGTGGGAAAGAACAGGAGACCCTGAGTCTGTGGTGGTCTGTTCCTGAATCTCAGCCCCCTCACTACTTACCTTGAGCGTGCCAACCGTGCTGAGACTCAGTTTTCTAAACTGTAAAATGGGGATAAAATGCCTAAGTAAAAACAACCATGATGATTACTAATATTCACTAATATCCACTTTTTACTAGGTGCTTCCCCTGTACCAGGCAACCCCATAGGGAGGTGCCATGTTTAGTCCATGATGTATAAAGAAATAGCTGAACTTGTTGAACTTGTCCTTTTAGACCTAGGTCTAAAGTGCAGGAAAGCCATGCATGGATCTGGTCCCACAAACGCACAGACACAAAACATTGAGTATGCCCAGCATGCTGGAGCCAATGAACACATAAATCAGGACAGTGTGTCAACTGAATTCATTTCATTCTCCCTCCTCCATGGTGGAGATCATTTTCTCACGTGCGTTGCCCTGGCCTGGCGCATGTGGGGAAGGCTGTGGCCAGCACCGCGTCTAGTGCCCGGGGGAACGAGGCCGGCCTTCCTCGGCGCCCCTGTCCTGGGAGGAGTCTCAATCATCCCAATGTGTACCACAATCACCTGTCTGCGTGTTGGCTTCCCCAGTGGGACCCCAGAGCTGGGGTGCTCTTCTTCATACACCAGGCCCACACGAGACTCTCTGCAAGTCTTTCTAAACTGAATAGATGGGGAAGTGAATGAACGGTTTCATTCTATTAGCTGGTGGGATGGGATCCAATGCCGCCTGCAGCCCAGGTGACCGAAGCCAGAGCGCCTTGCTGTGCTGGAGGAGGGCTTGCACCTCTCCAGCCTCCCCATTCACCTCCAGGCTGCTTGCCCAAGACGGGAAGAGTGCCCCGCTTTGGGATTTGTGGCGTGCTCTGGGCAAGTGCCTTTCCGGGGAAAAATGTCCTTCACAGGGGCCCAAACTCCTATCACTGTACTCACCCTCCTTGAGCATTTTCTGTCTTAACTTCTGTTCCAGTCTGCTTTGATGATCTTCCAATTCTAATTCTTGGGCCCTGGGGGTAAGAAAATGTTCACACCTTGTAAATACCGAAGATCTGCCTAGAAACACTGCCTAGTAAGCTCACCGACTAGAGCTGCTATATTCTTTTTTTTTTTTAAAGATTTTATTTATTTATTTGAGAGAGAGAGAGCACATGAGAGGGGGGAGGGTCAGAGGGAGAAGCAGACTCCCTGCTGAGCAGGGAGCCCGATGCGGGACTCGATC